CCCGGCGTGATGGGGCCCACGTTATGCACGCTGATGGGACAGCAACTACAACCTATCAGATATCTTGCTACTTTCCTTTGTACACATTCATAGTCTTATTCATTTCTGCACCAATCAGCCCAAAATTATATAATTCTATCAAGGAATCATCGGTTTGTGGACTTTTGCTATTGTAATCACTTGACTTACATATACACGTACACCTATATAACATACTTCAATCTGCTATGAAATACATTTGTCATGTCTCTTTGTTTTATTCTATCTGCCTTTTTCGGGCTGATCAATCATGTAAGGAGTCAAAATCGGATTCTGATTTTGAAAAGATCATGTAAGTTAAGAGTCAGAAAATAAGCAGATGAAACTCCAGGCCAAAACAAGCGGCCACACGAGCCCAGCATCCCCACAGACACAAGTACAGAGGTCTCTGTAAGCCCTCCCTCCCTGCCACAGACACAAGTACAGAGGTCGCTGTAAGCCCTCCCTCCCTCCCTGCCACAGACACAAGTACAGAGGTCGCTGTAAGCCCTCCCTCCCTGCCACAGACACAAGTACAGAGGTCGCTGTAAGCCCTCCCTCCCTCCCTGCCACAGACACAAGTACAGAGGTCGCTGTAAGCCCTCCCTCCCTGCCACAGACACAAGTACAGAGGTCGCTGTAAGCCCTCCCTCCCTGCCACAGACACAAGTACAGAGGTCGCTGTAAGCCCTCCCTCCCTGCCACAGACACAAGTACAGAGGTCGCTGTAAGCCCTCCCTCCCTGCCACAGACACAAGTACAGAGGTCGCTGTAAGCCCTCCCTCCCTCCCTGCCACAGACACAAGTACAGAGGTCGCTGTAAGCCCTCCCTCCCTGCCACAGACACAAGTACAGAGGTCGCTGTAAGCCCTCCCTCCTTCCACAGAGCTGGTTCTCCACTGACTTACTTTGTCTGCTTGAGGGCGTGGAGCGCTGATGTGTTGGTGATGGTGATGGAGGTGTCTGCGTTGCTCTTCTCCCAGTCGTAGGGGTCCGAGTCGCGCACAGACTTCCTGCGCATGCATTGGTTCAGCAGGTTGGACAGCATGTTGTAGTCGGGCTGGTCAAAGTAGTCCAGCGTCTGGATGTGCTCCAGGAAGGCTCGGAACTCACTCGGCAGATTCTTCAGCAGATTCACGTGGTCGTATTTGTCCTTCATTATACCCACCTGAGCAACAGAATAGGTAGGACAAAACTTAAACATCTGTCTGTCTGTGGGCGACAAAACGTTACCGTCTCCCTGTCTGTCTGTCTGTGACAAAACGTTACCGTCTCCCTGTCTGTCTGTCTGTCTGTGACAAAACGTTACCGTCTCCCTGTCTGTCTGTGAAAAAACGTTACCGTCTCCCTGTCTGTCTGTGACAAAACGTTACCGTCTCCCTGTCTGTCTGTCTGTGACAAAACGTTACCGTCTCCCTGTCTGTCTGTCTGTGACAAAACGTTACCGTCTCCCTGTCTGTCTGTGACAAAACGTTACCGTCTCCCTGTCTGTCTGTCTGTCTGTGACAAAACGTTACTGTCTCCCTGTCTGTCTGTGACAAAACGTTACCGTCTCCCTGTCTGTCTGTCTGTCTGTGACAAAACGTTACCGTCTCCCTGTCTGTGGGTGACAAAACGTTACCGTCTCCCTGTCTGTCTGTCTGTGACAAAACGTTACCGTCTCCCTGTCTGTCTGTCTGTCTGTGACAAAACGTTACCGTCTCCCTGTCTGTCTGTGACAAAACGTTACCGTCTCCCTGTCTGTGACAAAACGTTACCGTCTCCCTGTCTGTCTGTCTGTCTGTGACAAAACGTGACCGTCTCCCTCCCTGTCTGTGACAAAACGTTACTGTCTCCCTGTCTGTCTGTGACAAAACGTTACTGTCTCCCTGTCTGTCTGTGACAAAACGTGACCGTCTCCCTGTCTGTGGGTGACAAAACGTTACCGTCTCCCTGTCTGTCTGTGACAAAACGTTAACGTCTCCCTGTCTGTCTGTGACAAAACGTTACCGTCTCCCTGTCTGTGACAAAACGTTACCGTCTCCCTGTCTGTCTGTGACAAAACGTTACCGTCTCCCTGTCTGTCTGTCTGTCTGTGACAAAACGTTACCGTCTCCCTGTCTGTCTGTGACAAAACGTTACCGTCTCCCTGTCTGTGACAAAACGTTACCGTCTCCCTGTCTGTCTGTGACAAAACGTTACCGTCTCCCTGTCTGTCTGTCTGTGGGTGACAAAACGTTACCGTCTCCCTGTCTGTCTATCTGTGGGTGACAAAACGTTACCGTCTCCTTTTGCTGTTGGTGACAATATGGTTGACAAAACTCAATAGGTGATATCAAGAGACAGCAAAGATGATTCTGCATCTGGACATACACACAAGAATAATACGCTTTTTCTTCCTGATATACATACAAGTTGTTTCTGTTGCAAGAAAAACGAGAAACTGTTCCACTCAACTACACAGCAACTTGACAAACCAACAAGGCAAAAGGCACATTGGTCGAGCCCAGAACCACAGACTCCCACTAACAATAGCATGCTGATCCCTGGAAGGATTTCACTCACAGAAACTGAAGTCTCTGAAGACAGCTCATTTCATCACCATGTACCATAGCCATGCGACTCACCTGCTCAGACACGGACTGACTCACTCACAGGCACGACCTGACTCACTCACAGGCACAGCCTGACTCACTCACAGGCACGGCCTAACTCACTCACAGGCACGGCCTGACTCACTGACTCACTCACAGGCACGGCCTGACTCACTGACTCACTGACAGGCACGGCCTGACTCACTCACAGGCACGGCCCGACACACTCACAGGCATGGCCCGACACACTCAAAGGCATGGCCTGACTCACTCACAGGCACGGCCTGACTCACTGACTCACTCACAGGCACGGCCTGACTCACTGACTCACTGACAGGCACGGCCTGACTCACTCACAGGCACGGCCCGACACACTCACAGGCATGGCCCGACACACTCAAAGGCATGGCCTGACTCACTCACAGGCACGGCCTGACTCACTGACTCACTCACAGGCACGGCCTGACTCACTCACAAGCACGGCCCGACTCACTCACAGGCACG